ACAGGGGCACTTGGAGAATAGTCCAGATCCAAACTATGTCACTAAAGATAGGACTATCCTTATGTTTTTATATTCAATTTATTTTTGTTTGTAAATTTGCTATTCTTAAAATAATAAAATTAAAAACTATAATTCTTGGGGCTCTGTAAAACATTTGACCAACTCAAATTGAAGAACGAACTCACTTTATTCAATGGTTAGTTCCCTTTAGAAACCCAGTGAAACACATTCTGTTAAGTACTTAAATTACATCTGTAAATTTGGCATATTTAGTTTTAAAAAACTGATTATATTTTTTATTGAAGTAAAATACACGAGACAAATGTACCCTTTCAGCCAAGGTTAAGTGTATAGTGCAGTAAAGTTAAATGTCATGATGGTAGCACTCAACACCATCATCTATCTCTATAACTCTTGTAAAATTGAAATTCCCTACCTAGCACCCCCAGCCCTAGCAACTATCATTCTACTATTAATCTCTCATGATCTTGACTATTCTAGGTACTTCATATAAGTAGTACCATATAATACTCATATTTTTGTGACTGACAGTTCATTTATCATAAATGCCCTCAAGGATCATCTGTGTTGTATCCTAAGTCACGACTTCCTTCCTTTTGAAGGCTGAATGGTATGCCATGATGGTATGTGTATACTCCATGTGGTTTATCCACTGATCTACTGGAGAATACTCAGGTTGCTTTCATGTTTTAGCTATTGTGAATAATGCCATTATGAACATTAATACATAAATATTTCTTAGACACTTCACTTCAGTTCTTGTAGGTACGTATCCAGAAGTAGAATTGTTGGCTCATACAATAACTATATTTTTCATTTTTTGAGGAATCACTATGCTGTTTTCCAGCGTGGTTGTGTTATTTTGCCTTTCTGCCAATCATGCACCAGGATTCCAATTTCTCTATATCACCAGCATTTGTTATTTTATAGCCTTCCCAATGGGTGTGAGTTGGACTCTCATTATAGTTTTGATTCACATTTCTCTAATGATTAGTGATGTGGAGCATTTTTTCATGTATTTACCATATTTACCACTTCTGTATCCTCTTTGAAGAAATATCTTCTCAAGTTCTTTGCCCATTTTTTTTTTTTTTTTTGTGGTACTAGGAATTGAACTCATGACCTTGCACTTGCCAGGCGAGTGCGTTTGCTGCTGAGCTATATCCCTAGCCCCTTTGCCCATTTTTGAATTGGGTTGTTATTTAGTTTTTTGTTATTGTTTTGATTTTTAGGAGTTTGCTATATACTCTATACATCACTCCCCTATTAGAATTATGATCTGTAAATATTTGCTCCCCTTCTTTGGTTTGCTCTGTTCGCAGTTAACAGTGTCTTTTGATGCACAAAATTTTTACATTTTTAATTAAGCTCAAGTTCATCTTTTTTCTTTTGATGTCATACTGTATCCTTGGTATATTTAATTTTTTAAAAGAAGTTAATGTATCTGACTGGGACAGCTTCAACCCAGATCTTCCCATGTACACAACAAGCCTTGGTTTGTCATCAAATACATGTGAGGCTTTCCAAGCCTCCAGAGCTACAGCAAAGACTAAGATAAGAACAATGAGTAACAGTGAATAAAACACAGTATCTTTTACCCTCATGGAGTTTACATTTTTATAACCTAAATTAATTTAGCTGTTTTAAATCTAATGAACTAAAATTTTGAATGAATAGAATTTCAAAGTAAAAATCCTATATCTTTCAAGATTACAAATCTGAGATCAATTATATAATTAAATGAGAATCACAAAGCAAATCTAATTAGTGTTACTAATCTGTCTGATACATAAATACCATGTATGCAAATTGCCCATAATCCTGACTAAAGAACATTCATACTAAAAAAGCAATTTGCTTTATCATTTATTTAATCCTAAATTTTCCCAGTCTTAAATACTGGGGTCAAGAAACTGAGCGTGCTTGACCGACAGTCCAAGTCCCAGATACATGATTGGTTCAGGTTGGCTTAGAGATCTGAACTGGGACTAGGGACCTATGGGTACAGACATATGACCAAAGGGCATCCTCCCATAACACAGATGGACGCAGGGCTTGACTCTCACAGTGGCTCTGCACATCCATTCTCTGCAGGTGGGGTTGCTCCCACAGTGTGCTGCTTTGTTAGATTTAAGCTTATCCTTCATAACCATTCCACACTATTACCTGGTTTGGATGAATGAATTACTTAACTGTTTTACTTAACAGCCTGATCCCTTTCAGCTAACCCAGACGAGGTGCTCTCTGAGGCTTCTGATGGTTGTTTGGCCATGGCCACTGAATGTCTTCATTTCCCCATTGTAAGGTCTGTTTCCAGAAGGGCCAGAACGGAATTGTAGCTCTTCTCAAATATCTGAGCCAACTCCATTTTTTCAAGTGAACAGTTAACTTTTTTCTTTTAGGTTTAAGTCAAGTGTAATTCTAACTTTCCCCACTGACACTGCTTTGCATTTCTCTTGGAATAGAATATGAACCCTTTAACGTGGCCTGCAAGTCCTTGCATGATCTGGCTCTCCCCTCCCTCCATGACCTCATCACACACCTCTCTTACTATGCTCCAGCCACACTGCCTTTTTTTCATTTCTTCCAGTGGAAGCTGAAGCTCTTTCCTACCACAGGGCCTTTGCACAGGCTACTCTCCTGTTCCAAAATGTCATTTCTCTCCACTCTTTGCTTGGATAATTCCCCAAGCTGTAGGTCTTAATGTAACCATCATTCCCCATATGGGTTAGTTTTCTTCACAGAACTTAGCACAATTTGTGTGTATATTTGCTTACTGTATTTCTCTTCTACTAGACCATTCATTGTATGGTGTCAGATGTGTTGTTCTGTTTGCTCAGCATATCACAGTGCTGGTATGTAGGACAGTCAATAATTATTTACTCTGTGAACAAGTATGGCAGTTGTCACAGCTATCTCCATTAGCCTTAAATCATAACTATTACAACCATTCACGTAACCACTTTTGGCTCCACTTTTGGAGAGGTACTGAGTAATTGTTGAACTGAGATATCCAAATGTCAATATCTCCTGCATTCATTAATATAATTATTTTGTTATATTATGGTTCTTAGCTTCTAAAGCTGAATTCTTTTTGTTCTTAGCAGTTGTCTGAAAGAGCACATTTTAGCAAAGTGTGCCATTTGGGGAACCATCCTAACTTTAAAAAAAGTCACTTAGTGTTAGCTAATTGGCTTATATTAAGTAATAAATATTGGTGTAAATATACCATAAGTTCCCTCTGAGACTTAGTGGTTTATTTATATGTTTTTGCCCCTGATATCCCAAGAGAGGGGTTCCCCTGTTTACAGAGGGCAGCCTCAGATGCTGAATGGTGGACCCGTAGTTCTAGGTTCTATAATGCCTGTGGCTTAACCCCGCCTCCTCCCTCTTCGGGGTTCTGTTTCTACAAGAACAACCCCACCCCCCTAGAATTCAAGCTTTGGAAGAGCACCAGATCGTGCTAGAACTCCCGGAATCTTAACCATTTAGGACCCGACAGCTTTTTTTTTTTTTTTTTTTCTAAATGATTTCCCGAAAGAGCCTGAAGACAGGATGTCTCTCAGAGATTTTATATCCTTGTGTCCGCATCTGGGCACCTGTGACTAACGAACCACAGCATAGCAACGATACTGAATTGCATTGTCATGACAAAAATGCTCAGACGTGGAATAAAATGCAGTCAGATTTTGTTCATGTATAGCACGAAAGCTTTTTTTTTTTTTTTTTTTAAGCTAAATGGGAGAGATGAGCGTTTGGGGGACATGGCAGTGGCGCAGTGTGGCCGGGAGCCTGTACCTCGGCGTGACCCCGGCGCCCCAGCCCAGGGCCCAGGCCGCCGGCGCAGCGCCCCCTCCTCCCCCGCGCGCCGCGCGCATTGTTGTCCTATAGCGATTGGTCGGCGGGCCAGAAACAGCTGTGCAGAGCCGCGCGGGGAACCGCGGCCGAGGAGCGGAACGCAGCCCGGCGGCAGGCGGCGGCTCTCACGGGGCGCGGCAGGCGGGAGGAAGCGCCGGAGGCCCC